ATCTAGTATTAATTATTATATATATATATATATATATATATAGTTCCTTGCCTCAGGTTTGAATCTGAGACCTGTCACATACCAGCAAATGCTCTACCAACTGAGCCAAAGGGCTAGTCCCTAGGTCTAGTGCTTGCAAGTGAGGCACCTTTTAACCATCTAAGCTACTACATCCTAATAAAGCTTGGTAAACTCAACATTTTAAGAGTTTGTGCAATGAAATAAATATAAAAAACTTTAATACCTATGGATAGTATAAATACATGGGTATCTGCAAAACATACAAAAGAAGTATGAGAAGTTAGTAATGTAGTGATATGAACATTAGAGTAACCTTGAAATGTGATTCTGTTTACTTGAGAAAACTGCATGGGAATAGCTATAAAAACGTAAGAAGACATTGTGCAATGAAACAAGAAGATATTGAAGGAATTTTAACCTAAGAAACAGTATAACAGGGTAACAAAACTTTTAGTAATACCAACATGAAAAAACATTCTCTCCCAAAGCAACAGCCTGAGATGGTATTATTAACATGAAAGAATGTATTTATTAAAGAAAAAATGAAAACTGTGATAATAAAAATATGTACCCAAGAACTGACTACTGAGGTATGCCACTAGTTACAAAGGCCCTGTTTGATTGTGCTTTATTAACAACAAATGTTTGGTTTCTTTCACACAGCTACCATTAAATCTAGTTAACTAGTCTTTTTTCATACCCTCTCACCAATGTGATTTTCTGTGTAGCACTTTATTGAAATAATTTTTAAAATTTAAGTATACTAAATCTATACCCTTTCCATCATCCAGTTAACAAGTAACATCCTCATAAATGTTAAGAGATTAGTAAGCTGAGATTTCCTTATAGTAAATCTATATTTTACTAAAGCTAGAATTATTCCCACCACAGAATTAAAACTCGTGGACTAATCAGTGTGAAGCAGTATTTAGACATCAAAAAAATGTATGGCTGTGATGTACATTACCTTCTAACTGAAGCGTATAAATTTCTTGCAAAATTGCAAGCATGAAAATCAGTCAGTCAAATTTTGTACTATTCATAGTATGAATATAATTTAGTAATCTAGATTAGTCATTGTGTAACAAAAGTAACATTTGTGTAATTTGTAACATATTTTTACAAATCATGATAAAAGTTACTGCAACATAGCTAAAATGATATTTTAATAAATAATTTATCAAAAGCTAGTAGTAGAATTGTTTTCTCTAAATGTGCTAAATAATTTTTAACATTTAAGTGTACAAATCAATCAACTTCACTTTATTTTAATATGCTACTGATAATTGAAGAAAACTGCAATATAGAGTCGTAAACATTTTGGTTCATTATGTTTTTACTTTATTAACTCTATGAAATCTTCTTATTTTTGGTCATTGACCACTGACTATATAATAAACAAAGAGTAATTTCAGTAATTATGTAAGCATTGCAAATATTATTGGCTAAGATGTTCGTAATTCTGAAAGATATTTTTCTTTTGACTATATTAAAGGATAAATGTTTTTACCAAACTAAGGAGATGTAGTAATAATAAAACAAAAAAATTGTAAAAATTTCAGAACTTATTAAATAATAATATATAAAACAGACCTGTACAATGCTTCTTAAGTAATTGCAAACAAGTATATATGTATATATATATATACTACATTACTGGTGACTCTTGAAGATTTTGTCATGAAGGCCTACATTCCCTCCCTGGTACCAAGGAGCTTGACTGCAATATTTCCAGTCACTAAAGTGTATTTCCAAAGAAATTAAGGAACCTGGAGATTATGTATGATGAGTAACTACATAAGACTATTTGTAATGGAACTGCAAAATAAAGTTATGACGTTAGCCTAAAGAGAGCATGTAATAGTGTCAAAAGATGAAGTAACTTGGAAATAGATTGTTTTGACATGAGAAGCACTCTATAATGGTTCAGCAATAAGAAAAGATGCTATGTAAAGGAGAAAAATAAATTGTTTTGATATTAGTTTGAAAAAAATGAGATCAGTGGGAATGGTTGATATTGTACAGTTAACTTTTGTAGAGAATACTTTTTTATGGCTTTTTTTTTGACAAAGTTTTATACTTAAGTATATCAAGTTTTACTCATAGGGAACATTACTTCACCCAAGTGACGTGGATTGACAGTACTCGCCTAGCAGTGGTGTGGCTACGTAGATCACAGAACTACTCTGTAATCAGTATATGTGAAGAAGATAAAGGTTGGCAGTGTACAAAAGTAAGTTAGTAACCACATTTAAATATAAGAGTCATCAATTCTGGTAAAATTATAAACAGTAAGCTATATATGATTATGAGCATTTCAAATTTGAAGTAGTTACTTAAATTAATCCTACAAAATGTAAGTTCAGATGAACTTTAAGCCATTGTAATACTTTCCCTCATTATGATAGTCTTTAGACTTCTTCAAAAACTTTCAGTTCCCTTGTATGTCATTATTTTGTACTTACTAAATATGTTCCTGTGTTAAGTTTCATACAAATGTTGATATCACATTTGTAAAAAATAGGCTTAAATTCTGTGGGCATGACTTATTTCCCAGTAATAAACTTTTAAACAGTCAAGATTGCCTTAGATCTGTAATATGTTACTCCTAAATCAACATTTAGTATCTCCATCAAACATGATTTCAATAAAACTTTTCTGGTTGAAAAAAACTTAACCATGTTTCACCAGCTTTGATTTTTATAGTAAGTTTTTTTCTTCTAATAATCTTGATAACCATTGGGTGTTAAAAACCCATCCAAAGCATTAGGTGATCTATGATGAATTGAAAAAACTACTCAAAATATTAAGACCCATATATACTGTCAAAAAGAGTGTCACTCATTTGTTAGAATACAGTAATATATTTTTAGTTTGTTAGAAACCATTTCTTAAACTTTCCTTTAAATTTTTTTATGATGTAAGCAAGTGCAAATGAGATTTAAGTATGTATTTTAAACATGATTAAACCTCTAACAGGGTGGGGGAAATATGAAAGCTGAGGCTAAAGTTGGTGACATTCAGTTCATAACACAAAAAATTCTTTTTGTGGACTTCCCTATTATGCACTATGGTATGTATGTTGTGTATGTAAAGAAACTAACCATCAGCTTCAAAGCTCTGCATATCATTGACCCTCTATTTTCATGAGGGTTTGACTACATCTAGCCTTAGTGCAATATTTTACTTGAAAAAAGGAAAAGAAACTATCACATGTGATCATACCTGCTTTGATCTTGTTTTCACACATGAGTAGCCTTCTTTGATGGTACATGAGCAACCACTAGGCCTAAAAAGAAACACATTTGCTCATCAGAGGTCTATTCTTATTTGTTTGAAGAGCATGAGATTTTAAATTAATGGAACAATTGATCAACAAACAATTGTTTAAATATATTTGCCACAAACTGGCAACACTAACATTATTGACACTGAGACACCTCTGGTTGTGCCAAGTTCAGCATCGACTGAACCACCAAAGAAGAAGAAAAAAAGAAACCTAAATGATTGCTGGACACAGTGAATTCCCATGGTTTGAGTTTAAGGATAATGCAGTATTTGGCACAAAGTTCGATGAGTTTAAGGATAATGCAGTATTTGGCACAAAGTTTGATGGAGTTTAAGGATAATGCAGTATTTGGCACAAAGTTCGATGAGTTTAAGGATAATGCAGTATTTGGCACAAAGTTTGATGAAAGATAATAAAGAATGAATTGACATGTTTAAATAAAAATAGTTTTATTTTGTGCAATGTTTCAGACAAATGCCCTTCATCAGGAAGTAAAGACCGTATTACATTCATCATGAGAAACGTACATTCGAAAAATAGACTTTTTTTCATTCATTCAGTCATACGAATGTACACTGAGTTCTCACAAGTAAATAGACACCTAATTGTTCGTCATTTAACTGATTTATGCAAACTAATTTGTGTTCACAGAGCATTATATAAATGAAAATGGTTTGCACACTAATTATCTTGTGCTACAACATGCCTAGAACTCAAGGTTCTCTCGAATTGTCAGATTTTGTTAGAGGAAGGATAGTTGGTCAAGCAGATGGTGGAATAAGTCAGTGGCAAATTTCGCAGAATTTGGGAATCCTGCTTTCGACAGTCAACAGAATCATTGTGCAGTTCAGGAAACACGGCAAGAAAACAACTGAGCAGCGTCTGGGTCGTCCTGGTTCATCATAGAGGAAAAAAAAAGGGCTGTCAAGAGGAGCATCGAAATGGATCCCAGATTAACGACTGCAGAAGTG